TCCCCCAATACCACCCTAGACCCCTCATAGCCCCCCCTTCCGATAGTCCGGCATATCTGATAATCTGGCACCCCATGGGTCCTAAAGGTGCTGGATTATCGGAAGTTTACTGTAATTGCTTTTTTTGCTCAGTTTTTTTAAAACACTTTTAAACTGAGAGAGCCATAATCAAAAAAGATATTCTTAACTTACAAAGTTTAGTATGCAAAGTATGCAGTGTCTCTAAAGCTGTGTTGGTCTCAGAATATTAGAGACAAGATTGGTGAGGTAATATCTTTTATTGAATCAACTTCAGAAGCTTTCTAGTCACACGTTCAATATTTGGGAAAGTTATTCCCACTGTCACAACAAATTGCGAAGTGGAACAGGTTATTTAGCATAAACAGTTTGCACAAATTATAAGAGACTATTCTAAGGTAAGTGGCTGGTTAACACTTCTGCAGTTATAGGACAAAAAAAGGGGCTGGGTAGATTGTTGTAGCAAGACATAAATACAATGCCTTTATGGGTGAACACTTTTGACAAAGCTATCAATCTATATCTGACCTATCATTCTTCATCTTCAAAGGAAACCTGCACAACATTTTCATGTGAGCCTGGTAACTTACATTTATTATTTTGCTAGACACTAAAAGTTCTGGCTTGGAAGCTTCTCACTGAGAGAAGTTGGTTCAATAAAAATATTACCTCATCCATCTGGCTCTCTAATAGTTGAGCCTTTCTATGACTTTGAAAGTATTGCTAGATTTAATATAAACAAAAAACATTACAAAGTAGCTATAACAGTCTTTCGCATCTACATTGAATAATGTGTGATACTTCATATACAAATAAACTTTTTTCCATTAATCAGACTTATAAACTAAACTCATAGCAATGATGGATGGGCAGGCTTACACTTTAAAAAAAAATATACTAGACCAAGCACACACAACTTCATTCTTGAACTTAAAAGATTGCATTTGTGATGACAATGATGAATTATATTTTTCTTGCTCATGAAAGAGTTGCACACAATTTCAATCTTTACAGATAGACTTGCAAAATTTCAGTCTATTCTAGAGATTTATATTGCTGTTCATCTCCTTAATATCTGAGTCCCTTCTACGTAAAATCAGTAGCAAAGTCCCTACTGGACTTGATGAAATCTGTCACTTCTCTCCTTCCAGGTAAAGCTCTGCTTGCAGTGTGTGTGTGTCGGGGGGAGGGGGGGTATATAAGAATGTGTGTGTGTGTTGGGGGAGGGTGGTGTTTAAGAGTCAGAGCTGCATTGTGTAATCTATGAATATGTTTACACTGCATTCATGTCTGGCCCTTGCCAGCTGGCTTGGATTGCAGGGTAGACTTTAAGCTTGGGCTGCAACCCATGGTTTAGGACTTACAAGATGGAAGGGTTCCAGACTTCAGTATGCAGTTTGAACCCAAAACTCTACACTGCAATTAAACAGCCTGGCAGTCCAAGCCCCAGTCTGCTGAAATGGGCCAGCAGTGGGTTTTAATTAGGGAGGTGAATAACTAGTCGATTATCCAATAAGCATTTGCTTATTGGATAGTTGACAGTCTAGTCGACTAGTTGCTTC